ATTTAGAATATATAATACACTAATGATTATTTCCAAAATGATGGTAAGGTAAACATCTTTAAAAAAGAAAGAAAAATCTTACGAGGAAAAAAATTTTTATTTTTAAAAATGGCGAGAAAATTTATCGAATCTTGTTCCGGTTTTTTGGTTTTCTGATTTCCGGATAACGGGTTCTGTACTGTATAAGAAAAGAATCAAGTTATAAAGTTATAAAAGGAAAATTGTTTGACTAAACAATGATTTTCTTCCATCATTAAATATATAAGAAAATTTCTTAACATATCAAAATATTTGTGATTGTGTATTGAGTTAACAAGGTGTGTCAGAGCTTGATCTATGAAGAACTTAAGTCAGAGGAAATTATAAAATTAAGGCCAACAACTTCTTTTATAAATTATGATTTATTTTCTAACTGAACTTCTGATTTTTTTGTATATAGTACAATTTCAACAAATTGATTTAAAATAATAATTGCATAAATGATATCTTTGTTTATGATTGATTGCAATGTGATTAACCTTTTTACATTGGAAAAATACAGCTAAATTAGCTCGATAAAAAAACCTGCCTCATTTTTTTAAGTTCAAACAAGAATCCACTGAGTTAGAATACTATGAAGTAGACTACTTTTGATAAAGTGGCTAATTTCTTTTTCAATGTTTCTAACATATTGTTTAATTTATAACACTAATGACAATTATTTTTAGTTATAAAAAATAAGTACTCTTGGCTAAATTATAAGAACTTAAAAAAATGGCAAGCAGTAACACTAGAAATAACATATAGTAACATAAATGGTAAGGCGCAGAAAAAGAATTTTTTGTCAATATCTAGAAATGAATTAGACTTAAACTTAAAGAACTAAGTACTTTTGAAATTCTTCAAATACAACAAATTTACTAAGATGTCAAATAACAGAATAATAATAATATTAACACAAAAATTAAGGATTAGTTTAATAAAAATATCATAATGTGACAAATACTTATTTACAATTTAACACTAACCATACCATCAAAAGCAATTGTATGTGTGCTACAACTCACAGAAATCAGTTGACAGCTTTATTATATGATTAGTGTAAAGAATAAATTTCATTAAATCACCAACATTTGAAAGTTCTCCCAGAAATTCTTGCCCATTGACTAAATAATATTTTAAAAATAAGTAAAAATAATAATTATAAATATAACATTGATAATCCATCCATTATACTTTGATATTAGTACAGAACAGTTCCATGCTGAGATGCATTTTGTCACTCTATATCACATGTGTGACAGAAAAAAAAAATAAATAACAAGGAAAAATATCATAAGGATTATGTTTTGAATGTTAAGTAGAAACAGAAATTAATTTTGAATGTTATTGCCTCTCTTCTTATACTGAAGCGCCAATTTTCACAACTAGCAATCACTAATCAGAAAGACACGGGGTGGACAAAATAATGGAAACACTTCTATGCTAACACATTTTTTCATATTAGGCAAGAAATGCTTAAAGAAACATTTTATAAATTTATAAGTCTTTAGATCATGCGATTTCTCATACTTATCTATGAAGTTTAAGCTTTTAGAGGTTTGAGGGACTGACAATAAATTGCAAACGGACAATAATTTTTTTGATCACCCAATACCAAAAAAACTAGCAACAAATTTGTAATTTTTAACAAATTTTTTGGTTATAATAAGCAATAACTGCACAAAATTTCGTAAACCTAGATGAAATATTTAAGAAGATATGGACATTTTTATAAAAATTAATTCCCTTGTCTTACATCATTTTGCTATAACTTTAAAAATATTCAAAATTAAAAAAAAAATTTAGAGCAATTTAAAATAAATTAAAAAATTTTTTCTTAAAATTCTGGAGAGAATTATTTCTTACTCAAGAAAAAAAATTGAACACAGCAAAAATTTTAAACTAAGAAACATAAAACTATTTAATTTATAACTTGATACATAATTTATTAATGGTATGCTTGTACCCCAACAGCTGCTGCATGAGCTAAAAGAGCTTTTACAGCTACTTGAGTTTCTAACAACAGTCTTAATTCTTTCATCCAATCTTTTGCTACAATTCTTGGCTCTCCTTTTAACTGATTAGCATATCTTAATGCTTGCTCTAGATTATCAGTTCTCAAAGAATAAGAAACCCTAGAAAGAATGTCATAAGTATCCCATTCACTTGGATCAACTGCAACTTTTCCTTCTAGTTCTGCTTTAGGTATGGAAGCTTCATCAATAATTAGGTAAGACTGTAGATAAGACAATAAGTAACGATATAAAGAATCATTGTTTTCATCAATCATAGCTACTTTTCGGCAAACTTTTTTCACATGAAGAAATCTCTGCTTCAAAACTTCAGGAGAAAATACACCACGTGTCACAGCTTCACTTGGTATTCCTGCTAACACAGTATTAACATATACATTACTTTCATCAGCAGAAAGTTTAATGGCAGCAACATCTTTTCCTAAAGGACTTAAGTTGCCAGCTTCAGAAGAGATCTTCTCACTCATAGACTGACAAGCTAACCAAAGTGATTGGGCTTTTTTGGATTCAATATCGAATTCCGTTTTAGCTGTAAAAGGCAAAGAATAAAAATTAATGAGTTTTCATAAATTTACTATAACTAAAAACCTATTTTTAAAAATAATTATGAATTTGATAGTTACGTGAAATGTAAGTATTTGTTAATAAAGACATGAAGACTTGGCCATAAATGTATAAGTATCAGAACTAGATAAAATTCTTATAATTATTTATGAGTACAGTGATAAATTATAGATATAAATTTTTTTTTAAATTCAAAAATTTTCCTGAAAAGAAACATAATTTCATTAAGTTAAATTCTTTCTTTTCTAAACTTATGTATTTAAATGTTTCATTAGATAAATAGGTGTGCACAGTCTGCAGTCTAAGGCGACTCCTGAAAAGTTTGGTGATCAGCATAAGCTGGTACACATGTATAAATAATTTACATAAATAGTTTTTGGGGCCTGTTTGAAATGTTTGAGCATGAGATTTAATTAAAATAACTACATTAATTCATGTTAAGCAAAAATATAAGGTTTGTGGCGGCACTAACTTTGAACTTTTGTGATTTGGCAACTAAACAAAAAAATTCAGTTTAGTTTTCTGTAACAAAGAGATCGAGTTTAGCTTTTGTGTTCTACTAGAGTTAAAGTTAGCGATCTTTGTCTATAGTTGTGTTCTAATATTTCCACGAATATTATTTTACTTGTTGAATATTATATTAAAGTTATTAAGTTTTTACTGTTCTTATTTCATTTACTTAAGGCATTAGTTTCAATTACATAGACTTATATATCTGCTAAACTGGATCCCCCTTCCTGAAAAAAAATTTTACTAAAAGTAAAATTATATTATTAGTAAAATTGTACTAATTTTACAAATTTTTTATTAAGTTTCTGCTAAAGGTTATTAGACAGGGTTGCCACTAAAATCAGGTGAAAAAAAATCCCTGTGTTTTCCCTGTACATATTATGCACAATATATTAAGAGAAAACAAAAACTACTGGGCTCTTGTGTGAGCTATTGTTGGGCTAACTATATTTATAAGTTTTAATTGCTGAAAAACAGCTGAACATACTTAAATAATGCTATAGTAAATGAAATAGTTTAATATAGCTGAAATATCATGGTTAAACATCCCATAGATTACACTTTGAGTGGTCACCATTTTTTAAAAGACAAAAATAAGAAACAAAATTTCCTGTATTTTCCCAGTTGGTAAAGAAAAAATCAAAATTCCCTGCATTTTCCCTGTTATTTTAGGTAATTTTTAAATTCCCTGTATTTTACAGGTTTTCCTTGTGGAGTGGCAACCCTGTTAGATTTAAATTATTATTAGATCTTTAATTTTATTTCGAAGAATGCTTTGGAATTTAAACTGTTTCTTTTTTCTGTAATGTCAAAACTTAATTTTAGTCGCAAATAAAATAACTCGTACATAAATAATATAAAACACTCATTTTTTGTAAGCCACTAAAAAGGTTAAATTTAAAAAAAAAAAGAGAAAAAATCTTTACTTTTAAAAACTGTAAAACATTGAGCACATAAACAGAATTTTTACAATTTTAGTATTATTTTCAATGAGGTTCCTTGTTTCAACTTTAAAATAAATTTGCTTTTAATAGTTAAATTCTGGATTGAATGCTAATAAAGGAGCATAATGTATCAAAACAAATTTTAGAAAAAATCTTGGTTTATGCTACAATTGCATTTAAAAGATTGCTTGATGATGAAGTTCACCAACTGTTTGTAAGGATGCTGAAGGAAAAAAAAAAAAAAAACACTAATTTCCAACCAACATACCAAGGTTCAAAAGCACAGCACACATTGTTAAGTATTCAAGCTTAGATGACTATCAAAATAGGAAAGAAAAATCAGAGAAAAAAATGAGGAAAACCAAATTGAGAAAAGGAAACAGAGAAAAAACCAATATATCGCATTACACTCAAAACAATTAAGATAAAAATTTTCAGAATGAAGGTAAGACAATAACGCAAATTCAACATGCTACTTTTTTAATATTTTAATAATGAAAATGTTGCATGCATTATTAAAAAATTTACTATGGCAAAGGATGGCAAAATTTTCATGACAAAGATATATGAGAAAACATCCCTCTATTTCCAGTACAGTATGAAAAATTATTTTTCAATTGAAAAGTTGCTTACAAATTAATCTTTGAGAACACATAATTGACTTAAAATGATGATAATCCAATAAAGCATATCTATTTAGAATAATTAGCTAAAACTGTGTGAATAAAATAATGTGTTTACCTTCCAATCATCTGAAATAACTTTTCTAATAGTAAGGATCTAAAGCAGAAAATTTTAAAATAAATAGAATTTTTATTAAACTTTTATTATAATTTAATAACATGATCATTTGTATACCTGACTATTCATTTGTCTGCTTAAAATATTTATATGTAGAGGTAAAATAAATTATGTTAATTCTAAGTTATTTAAATATCAATACATTATCTTATCTTTGCTACTAGTAGGAAAGTTATTTTATGAAGCCACAGAAATTAGCAACACACACTCCCTTATATCGAGACTGTAAAGTGGGGACCTAAGAAAAAAAGAAGAAAAACCCTTTTTTTCACAATAATTAAAAATAAAAATATTTCAAAGCTCATTAGAAAGGTCAATGAAACTGTTAATTAAAGAGTACGGTGAAAAGAAGCGCAACTCCACGTGAATTACTCACATTATTCGGTTTTTTAGACTATTTTCAAACCGAGGACATCTCTGGTTAGCAGTGGGTTCACATTTTATGGTTTCACACCCACACACACACATATATATATTTGTAGGGTAACACTCCTTTATATAGATGATAACTGAAAAATGGTATTGATCAAGCTATTTTTTTAATTTTAAGAAATAATCTCTTACAGCATACCCTTTAAAAATGCTAAGATTCCTTTTAACCTAGCCATTGAGCCAGATACTTCCGATATGAAAATTCCTTTTTGATGTAATAGCTTTTCTTCCAAATCCAGAGAAAACTTTCGCTCAAGTTCTTGCTCTTGAACTTTCAAAACTTCTTGTATATGGTCAGTATGAGCTGCAGCTTGTCGATGAAGTTGTTTCCTCAGTTCATATTCAAAGTTCTCTTTCAGAGATGCAACCTGAATAAAATGAATACTACTGATGCCACAAACAAATAAGAAAGACTTAAATATTTAACTTATTTAAACAAGTTAATGCATCAAAAAATACATTAAATATAAAGAAAAAGATTATCAAGAAAAAAATATGAGGGCATTAAAGCAAGGCAAAATTAACTTTTTTTGTTGAGTTATTCAGCATTTATGTTCTCATACATAGATATAGAAAAACTGGGGCCTTAGGCACAGAACTGTCAGGAGCCCCCTGGTTGCTACTTTAAACCAAATTTACAAGTTGTTTAATTATGAAGAGTTCATTAGTTATTATTTATAACATTAATAAATTATGATATATAAGACAATTTAAGGTAACACTTATTTCAATTTTTGTTAACGTTTATTTCTAATAGACAATTCTGAAAGAAAAACACAAATAGAATACATTTGTAACATTTAGGGGTCCCCAGAAATGTGGGGGACCTAGGCCTGGGCCTCTCAGGCTCAAGGCCGGATTAACCATTAAGCATTCTAAGCATGTGCATAGGACACCAGAGCTAATGGGAGAAATCACAAAGCACCAATGAAAAAAAATTATCAATAGAAATATTTTTTGTTAAATAAATAAATGCTAAATGGGTTTTTCTACTTCAAGCGATTGTCGGTGACGTCGTGGTCTGTGGGGCTCGGCTGGTCTCTTTTCATTTGTTGCGGGTCATTCATGCGTGAATCATGTTTTCATCCCTGATCTCTTAAATGAGAATATTTAAGCTTCTATTGAAGACAAGCAATTCTTTTCGTTGCTAATTTGTCACTCTGTTTGTGAGAGTATGTTATGTTTGTCTATCAGGTTAATATGATCGTTTAGAGTTTTATATCCAAAACTGAAAGAAAGAAAGTCAAGAATTCCTCTGGAGGAGGGACAAAGCGTACATGTCAATATTTTTTAGTGTTGAACCCGAATACTGAAGTTTGATCTCAGGGACAACTGATGGTGCTGCAGTGTGGGACATTAGAGAGCAACATTTTGAGCCGACTTTGAAACAAGAGTGATTCTACTCCTAGACCAATTCTTCGACCTGAAATACACCCCAGGAAAAGGAACAGGTCTGTTTGCTGCTAGATTAAAGAATTTGGTTTCTCACCAAAGATGCCGGACACCTCATTGATGACCTATATAAAGGATTTCAACTGATAAGATACTTATCCAAGGACTTTCAAGGTATTGTTCAAATTAGTTATAGATGGGAGGACACTAAATTTAAATTTAAGAACATTTCACACAAATTACTTTCAGGGAAAAGTATATTTAAGCAACTAAATTTTGATTTAAATAACATTAGTGATATTGCTTGTAATGTAAATTCAAATTTAATTAGCTAAATATAACATATTATATTAATGCATTAAACATTTCTAATCCTTTTGAAAAATTATAATTGAACAATATAAAACTTCTTGAAATAATATTAGATTATTTATGTACATCAAAGATCCTGAACACAACAAAAAATATTAGTTCAATTGTTGACTTGTTCTAATTATTAATTTAAAAATTGGTCTGTATCAATGCAATTGATTCATAACAGTTGTTTTTTAAATTTAACCGATTTAAAATCTTTTATTAGAGTGAGGAAAGACAACTTTTCTAATTGATTATCATTAAATTTCTTCTCGTTTGCATGTGGTCAAACAACAGTCATTTTGTTATAGTCAACAGATTATGTAAACGAAATATAAAAAATATAAATAAATAGAACTGATAGATTTTTTTGATTAAGCTCCTTTTCTGACTGCATGTGAATTAACAATAAAATTAGTGTTCAATATAAGCATATTGTGCGTTATAAAGCAATTGCTCTAACAGTCTATGAATTAAATACAAGACTCGCTTTCTGTTGCTAATTTTCTCCCAAGGGAAATCAAAATGAAGTAACATAAAAGGATTCAATTATAAAGTTGACTTATTAGTAATTCAGAACTTTAATTGTATATTCAACATATTAAATGTGTAGAACATTTTTGGTCGATTGTAATAAATGAATTGAGTATGATTAATAGTTGATTACAATAAAATTTTTATTTTGCATTATAATGTAAAATAAAATTTTAAATGCTACGTTTTTCAAGTGAGCGAAAAAGAAGGAAGAATTCAAGTTTGTCACTCCTAAAACAAAAAATGATTGACGCATCACTTTCTAAAGATGGAGAGGGAAAGAAAGCTGGTGATACGATTATCACCAATTTTAATTACTCTCTCTCTCCATCTCAAGAAAGTGATACGCCTATATCTTTTGTTTTAAGTCTGACAAAAATGAAAATATTTTTTTCTTTTTAGTCCACCTAAAAAACATAGCTCTTAAAAGCTTTATTTTATAATTTATTTTTACTAGTTTTGGGCCTGTTAATGTTTGAAAAGGGTCATAATTTCGATTGCCAAAAAGATAAACATAAATTTTGTTTTGCAATTTTTAGGAAACAAATGTAACTTGAATTGTCATCAGACACAGAGTTTCAGTTCAAGACACCGTTGAAATTGGAGGATCCTAGTTATAAGGTGAAAAAATTCTAAGTTATGTTGAACAAAAATTATCTTTAGTGATAAAATGACAATTAACTTCGTTTTCAGTGGTCCGGAAGCAATTAGAATTTGTTTTGTCAATAGAATACTGGTTGAATTTGAAGCACTTCAGCTACTTAGAAAGTGATCAAAATTTTTATTTATGATATGCTTGGTTCGCTAATAAAATGTTAATAAACTCTGTTTGTCATGGTCAGGAAACGACTTGTATTCTCAGTAAGCATGGAGTTCAATTACAGATTTGAGTACTCTAAACATAAGAGTTAGTTCAATGAATAATAATAATAAATGCTGTAGGTAATAAGTAAACTTTTATAAATTCATGGAGAATCATCAGAGGTTTCCCAACACTCTCAGAGATGAAAGAAAAGTTGTTTGTTATTTTTATTGATTATTAATTCTGTTTTATACAGTAATAGTTTATACAGTAATATACCCCCTGAAGTTTGAATAAAAAATTTTATTTCATGGAATTAAAACGAAGAAAAAAAATAGCTTGTGGATCAGAGAATTTCTTTTTAAATAAGAAACCAGAATTGTCAAAATTATTTTAGTTTGGCTCTAAGATCACAAAATATGTGGTTAGCGTTGAAAACTCTTCAAAGAGTTAATTGAAAAATTTTGATTCCCATTATAGATCCTTTGCAAAAACAGCATGTTGCAGTTACATAGATTTACTTTTGTAAACTCACTTGAATTTTATTTAAGAAAAATATTATTTATGTTGATATTTTTAATTACATTTAAGGAGCATCAAAATCTTTTAAGTGCTTAGGGCCTCTAAGGCTCTCCAGCTCTGCTCAGGCCTTATGATAAAAGATTATTAAGAAAAGAGATTGCTGATAAAAACATTTTAAAATTCAGGATGGAATATGGATTGATTTTCTAGAGTAAAAAAATGCCCCCACCCCCTTTTCTATGACTGAGGTTAGAATGGAGCTAAATGTATCTTTTATTATTGACTTTAAAGTACAGATTATCAGTGACATTTCCATAATTATAAGTGAATTTTCGAAAGATCAAGTAAAGCATCTGCTTACTGACGAAATCACTTTAAACTTTTAAATTTAAAAACAAATGTATATTAACTTTCTGCAGGAGAAAAATTTTGTCTTTTTATGAAGTTTAGGAGGAGGTATCTTCAAGAGTAATCTCAGTTTTGCAGGATAAAATTTTTCTTGTACAATTGCCTCCACAGCTATAATCATAAATAAAATTATGTATTTTCACATATGTTTTTTAAAAATTACATTATTACTTACTCTTTGGGTAACAGCAGATTCTAAGTCTATATTTCTCTTTTCCAATTCAGCTTCAATTTTAGCTTCTGTGACATTATCTTCTTTAAATTTTTGATGTCTCAATGCTTCATCAATTCTATTTTTCTCAGTGACCTAAAAAATAATGAATTATATTATCAATAGCAATACTTAATGAGCAAATAAATTTTCCAAAAAAAAAAAAATTATTGCATGGATACCTGTTGCCTAGCAAGTTGTTTCTGTAGTTGTTCAATTCTTCGATGTGCATGAGCGATTAAAAGATTTAAATCACTTTCAGTAATAGTTTTATCTAAAATAAATGCAAGTACTGTATAGTATCCATGTAAATAAAGAGTTTCACTACATGGAAAATGAAGGAACATTTAAATGTAATAAAGAGGAGTACAGAAAGAGGCACTACTTCAGGTATGAAAACGTACGTTAGTTTGAAATGATAGTGATGTTGCCATCTATCGAGATATATTGGACATAAAAGTTTTTCTTTTTTCCTTCAAAGAGTATCGTAAATAAAATTACTTTTTATGTGACTCACACATTGTCAAAATATTTTTACTCTTTTTCTCAAGAAAAACTGAATTTTTTTTTTTTCAAATTAGAAATAGTGAAATAAATTCTTTATGATCAAGAGAAAAGAAGTTATAAATAATAAATAATTGATTATTAGTAATAACTGGAGTTTCCTCTGACAACCAAATCGAATTGGCGATCAAAATGGGCTGCAGGAGGCGTAGAGCAGAACTCTCTACCTATGGCAACACTTCACATGCTTTCCCCATTAGCGTGTGGAAAGTCATAGAGGAAGGAAGTACGTTAGTTTCTCCCTTGATTTTCATATAGATTAAAATCTTTTAAGTTGGAAACCTATATGAAACTGAAAACTACATTAAACATTGCTCTAAAAAAAGTATCACGGAAATTTAAAAAAATAATTTTATTAAATAAAAAGGAAAAATATTAAGAAAAGGGAAATTATCGTAGTACATTCCTATACAACTAAAAAGAGGAGGAGAGGGAAGGGAGAAGGGCTAAAGACATGAAACCTGTCTCTCCCTAGATGGCGTATTCGAGTGTTGCGATCGCCAATATGATAAGGCGCCTTCAACAGTGATTATTTTTTTCATTGTTCCTCAGTTAACAAATAAATAAAAGCATATTAGCAATATTTTAGTAGTGACATTAGCAGCTAGGAGCTGTCGCAACTTTTGAATTATTTTATACTTTTTCTCTTCAATTTTCATTATTATTGTATTTGCATCTTAAATTGTATCATATATATATATATATATTGGTGTAAAAATGACTCTTTTTATGCATGAAAATAAATTGAGAAAAATAAAAGAAATAAAGAAAGTACTAACCACTGGCACCATGAGTATAATTTGGTAAAACGATCTCCAACTCTCTTTGAAATTCTTCTTTACTTTTACTCACAAGCTTCTGATACTCAGTAGCAGTTTTAGCTTCATTTTCAACGGATTTTATCTAAAGAAATTTATAAAAGAGAATTATTTACGTCCTTAAAATTAAAATAATAAAAGAGTATAAGCTCTATAAATCACAAAAACCAACTACAATTTTAAAAACTATTTCCATAGAAATTAAATTTTTAATTTAACCAAAAAATTATACCAATTCATTAATTATTTTTAAAAAGTAGCTATAATTTTAGAGCAACTTAGCAAAGCATACTTTATAACAGCTCATTGTAATATTAATAACTTGTAAAGATATTTTAATCTGTTTCAATTTTCTGATAAAAATATTTTAATTCAGTTTGAATCATTAGCCTTCTTTTTATCAATTAAGATTCAAACATTTTTTTAAAAATAAGTATTTTTTTTTAAATTTAGGAAAATAAATACATGCTTGCCTAACTCAATTTTTGAAATAGCTTTCAAATCACTAATTTTAGCAATAACTCTGTAATGCACTTATTTTGTGACAATTCGATTGCATTTTCAGATTGACTTTGATTGCAGTCTTGTTCTTTGTTTTACAAAATTATTTTAGCAGATTTTTATCCTGTAATTCTTAATACCTAGTTATTATGAAGCATGAATTTCCATTAGAGCAATCCTTTTCACACTTTTAATTCCCGCAGATTCATATGCACATCGGTAAATTGTATTTTCAATAGTTATCACTATGACTTTCCTAAACTTTTTAGAAATTTACTGTTTTTAATTTGACTTTATTGCAACATGCAAATTTCAAGTAGCGCATTTTATTACTACCTTTTTAAAAAGTTTGATTCATGCTAATTTCACCACATGTCCGGGTGGTTTTGTCAGTCAATTTTGGGTAGTTATCACTACGAAATTTCATCCGATTTTTCCGATTTTTAAAATTTTGATGTTTTAACATGCTGTAATGTATCACAAATTTTGAATCGCACATTTGAATAACTTTTTGACACACTCGATTATCAAACATCCCACTACCATCTCACTACAAATATTGATTCGCCTTCTGGTTTAATTAACAGACTTTCTACTAAGAATTTTGAAGGAATTTTTAAAAGCTTGCTACGTTATTACAATATTTTGTCCCACAAATTTTGAAAACACTTCAAAAACTTTATTAGGCTCTCGATTCGCGACAATCTAACTACTATTTACACAGTTTTATCAATTGCATTGACTGTAACAGCTAGGGATTTTTATATGACTTTTAAAATCTCTATTTTTTAACACTAGATTATTTTGCATAGTGAATTTCGAATTGTACAATTAAAGAATCATTTTTAGATACTTTTAATTTGCTCCAATTTTACAGTAAATCCAAGTGGATCTATTGATTGCATTTCTGGTAATTATTGCTCCAGATTTTTATGCAGATTAATGTATGGAGCAGACTGATTTATGCTGTGGCTGAATTTAGGAAACAAAGCTCTTACAGAAATAAATATTCATTCGACCACTGTGAAACATGTATTAAATTGAAAATGATTAGATGAAAAAGTTAACATTCTATTACTGAAAAATCTTACAAGATAGTAGTTTTAACAAACAAAAGGAGACACAGAAAGCAATTTGGTTAAGTCTTGGCCTCTTAAGCATTGAGATTCAAGGTCATCGACTAACTACAAGTTTCTGAGTATCTTGCATAAACTATTGTACAAGTAGGTGAAGAGTTGAGCAGTTATTGGCTTCTCCAGTGTGGGAAACACTGCCTCACAAGCGTGGTTTGTTACCTCTCCCGATGAAAGCTCAACATCAAACTTTTACGACATCATCAAGTGGCTTAATTAGATATAAATCACAAGCATAGATTCGGTTGATTTGATGCGATTATCGATCATATTTCCAACAGCAGCTATGTAAATAACGTATATTCAAAATAAAATATTTGTTTTAAATAAAATTGTAGGAGTCTATCACAAAGATTACCTAATTCTTTGCGCAGGTAAAGAGAAAATGTTCATAAATGTTCAGTACAAGAATCTCGCATATTTTTTTCTTCCTCACATTAAAAAATTATTACTGGGAGAAATTTGCGCATTCCATAAATAAATTTCAAAATTCGCGAATTTCTCGCATTTTGTAAAAATTTTTGCATTGCGCCATTTAGAATAAAATCCGTTTCATTTTTCTTTCTGGATCTTTCATTATTCTCAACATCTTTCCCGTTATCTAGCTTCCATATTTACCAATATTGTTCAGAACCTTTGAGAACAACAGAACACCATCCCTCCGAACCACTGAACCCCTTTCAGAACTTCTCTGCAACCACGTGTTTACTGTAGGTAAGGTATCTTCATGTAAGATGTTAAAATTATTTGCACATTAATGTAAGATGGACAAATACCTTGTAAAGGCAACATCTTCTACTCCGAAACGGACAAATGAAAATGAAACAAATGTGGGTAGAAACGATCAAAACGAAACAAATATGGATATTATTCAGCCAAATAAAAAATCAAAGGCAGACAAGTATCAAGAGAAATGGGAGAAAATGTATGACTGGTTGGAAAAAGAAGAAAGAAATAGCATGGTTTACATGTTCTGCAAACTTTGCCGTATGTGCAAAAAGAAGAATCCAATTGGAAGTAGTAAGTTTATTCTTTTAATCATTAACAATCAAATTCGTTAAATTTTTAATATAAATATTTTAATTCAAAATTGTATATTAATTATGTATATAAAATTAAAAATGCAAATGCATAACATGCAGGGTGTGCAGCCAGATTTTTCAACAAAAAATAAGCACCTTATAAGTACTTTTCAAGCATTAAAATAAATAAGAATAAGTTTTTTTTCCTTCTTTCTTTTCGTTAATTTTTCGTTCTTTTATGATTCGGATGTATTTTGTGTTTAAAATTAGCAGTAGTTTAGAACAGTTTTTATTTCCGTATTTCAGCAATTTAGATTTATTCTGCATTATAACTAAATTCCTAGATCAGAAATTTTCCATTTCTTTCCTTCGTTTTTTGTATTGTAGCGATTTGGATATATTTTCAATTTTGACTAAATAGTTTAAAACTAAATTTTTTTTTTCTTCTTCTTTCTGCGATTTGGATGTTTTTTGCGTTTTAAATGAATTATTATTAAATTAAAAATTTTTTTCTTTATTTTTGTACTTTACTTGGAGTTTCTATTTTGGTTGAATTAATTGTTAAGAACTAAGTTTTTTTCCCACGCCTTTTTTGCGATTTGGAATTTTTTAATTTTATTTTTTCGTTTTAACTGAATCAATAGTTTAAAACCCTTTTCTTTCATCTATTGTATTATTTTTACTATTGATTTATTTTTCAGCTGCTTTTTTTCCCTACATTTCGGCGATTTGGATGTACTTTGTTTTTAACTTATTAGAATAGAATTAATTTTTTATCCTTTTTTCCTCTTTCCTTCATTTTTGTATTTCAGTGTTTTAGATAATTTTCAATTTTTACTGAATAATTATTTGGAACTAAGTTTTTTTTAATTTCTTTGGTATTTTTGAAATTTAGATATATTTTGCATTTTAAATGAAGTATTATTAAATTAAAATTAGTTTATTTTTCTTTTCTGCATTGTTGTGCTTCAGTGATTTGGATATATTTTGTACTTTAACTAAATTAATTAATAATTTAGTCATGCGTACTTTTTTTCTTGTTTCGAACTTCAGCAATTTGAATGCATTTTGTAAATTAACTGAATTATTAGTAACGAACTGCATATTTCTTTTTACATTCTATTTTTGAATTCAGTAATTTTGTTATAGTTAGCATGTTAACTGGATTGTTAGTTTAGAGCTAGTTTTTTGCCCAGCTCATACTTCAGCGATCTGGATATAATTTTAAACTAAAAAGTCCCGATATATTAAGGTCTAACAAAATAAGCGGAAACAAAGTAATATTATCCTATACAGGAATAGTCAGTTGAAAAATCACTTTGTTTTTACTCTGATATGCACCTGTGAAAATATCATTTCATTCACTTGTATCTGCTATCACTTTGAATTGAACTTAAACTAACAAAAATATAGCAGCTTTAAAACATTAAAAGATCATTTTTACTGATTTTAAAAAAAAAAAAATTTATAAGATATACTGAATTTTTTTTCTTTTCCTAGACGGTTATACATCTTACAAAACCACTTCTCTACAAAGGCATAATAATTCTCATGAACATATGCAAGCTGTTGAACCAGAAAACTGCTGGAAAGATATGAAAGTAGCTACAACAAGTGTTGAGAGAAAAAATGAGTCCTTCATAATAAGTTGTTTAAAGTCAGCTCCATTTTTAGCTGTTAATGAATTACCAAACTCCCTCTTCGGTAATTTACAGCAATTTGTAAAAATTCAAGGCTGTGAAAACTATGCTGAAAGACAAAGTGTGAAGTATGAGCATGGAAATATAGTCAACGAACTTCACTATTCTATAGCAGAAGTAATTGAAAAGCGTTTGCTCGCAGATGTAGATGATGGGAAAGTGTGTGCCATCATTTGTGATGAAACATGCGATTTGGCAAACATGAAGCACCTTGGAGTTAATATTAAATATGTCAAAGATGGATCTGCTGTTGTAAAGTTTTTAGATAATATCCATATATCAGATGGCACAGCACTAACTTTAATGTCTTCTATACTAGATATGTTAAAGAATAAGAATATAGATATAAAAAATTGTTGCTTTAGGTTCAGATGGAGCTAATGTCATGCTGGGGAAGAAATCAGGCTTAGCTAAAAGGTTGACAGAATTAAATCATTGTTTAATTTCTGTCCACTGTAGTGCCCACTGATTAGCACTTGTACTTCAAAATGCTGTAAAACATATTCAAAGTATCAAGTCATATAATGATAGCCTTAAGACAATATTTATGTATTTTAATGCCTCAGCAGTGCGATCAGCAAAACTGATGATAGTACAAAAATTGGTTCAAGAGACTGCTCTAAAGTATCCCGAACGGCATTCTGTTCGATGGCTCTCATTCCATAGAGCTGTACAAGTTATTTACAAAACATTAGATTCTCTCATTATTTTCTTAGAATCCCAAGTAGCTGAAGGTAAAGACTGCACATCCCCTGGATTATTGCAAGCCATAAGGCACATAAGGTTTATATATATAACTCATATACTCAATGACATTTCCCCAATATTAACAAAACTTTCAAAATTATTTCAATATGACACTGCAGATTTATCTTTAATTAAACCCTCTGTAGACACTGCTGTGACAAGATTAACACTTCTCAAAAATAATCCTGGTGATATGGAGAAGTATTTTATCCAAAATTTAATGGAGGATGATAATCCTGATAGAGACATTGATGACATCTTTGCCAATTCAGCAGAAAACAATGAAGAATCAGATGTTACTATCAGGACTGACGATGATGATTTGCCTATTCTTAACGCCAAAGGAGGATCGCATATTATTCAGTTTTAAAATAGAAGATGATACCAGCTTCCTCATTAGAAAGCCTTACTAAGCTAAAGATTTCTTTAACTAATTCTGTTCCTGATGGTCTTAAAAATAGATTTACAGAAAATGCCTCAAAAACAATTTCAAATTTTCAAGCTTTTGATCCATTGTATTTACAAACTCTCAGCTTTTCTGAAGCAAAGGAAAAGGTTAAATCATTGGCGAAACATTTTTCAAATTATGTGAATGCCGAAAAATTATTGAAAGAGTATGATGATATTTACCTAATGATAAAAAGTAGCTATAATTCTTTTAAAACTGTAAAGGTGGCTGAAATATTTTTAAGATCATACTTAGAAACATACCCTAATACATGTGCAATGCTGCAAATTTACTTAGTAATTCTGATTAGTTCAGCATCAGTTGAAAAGTCTTCCAGCACACAAAACCGGATTAAGACAAAATATCACAACAGATTGACTAATAAGCATTTGAGCAACCTAATGAGAATAGCTGATGAAAAAGTAGATGTTGAATATTTTCATACGATGATGCAGCAAAAATATTCAATGCTTTAAAAAATAGAAGATGTTAAAAATGTTAAATAATTAAAGAAATGATTTTTTTTAAGTCTATTTGTGCTTTTTTTTTTTTAATTTTGAGAAATTTCGCTTAACTTTTTGAAATCTCACCCTGTTTTTGAGAAAGGATGAGAAACTCTCTCTTCTGCAATGAAAACACTTCTTTTCTGTGATGAAAACACTGTATACGAATATCTGAACAATCAACTTTGCTGTTTGAATTAGTTGATAAAATACACCAAAAAAGCCCCATAAATCTCTGAATAAAACATTGAAATATATAAAAAACATAATTATTTATAACTAATAAGTATTATAATTACTTGAGCTTCAGAAATATTTAGTTCCTTGGCTATTTTCTCAACAGTATCTTCACAGATCTTAACTAATGGATGATTGGGATCTTTAAGAGCTGCTTTTCTGGCATTTATTATTAGTTTTTCAGCCAAAGTTCTATAGAGAAAAAAAATATTTCAAATGAATATGACAAAAAAAAAATTGTAGAAGATAAATAATATAAAAAAATAAATACTTTTTTGTCAAAGAAAATTGAGTTATTGTTGTATGTGATGGCCCAGTTATATCATCAATTAAACATAGACTAGCATTTCATATAGATACTAAACATTAAATACTAGAACTTTGCTTCTTAGTTACCAATTAAAAAATTATATTTTTATTAACATGCAGGAACTATTAACTACATATTACAAGCATAAGCAATAATCTGATTAAACGAGCAAATTAATTAATATTGATAATTTTAATTGCGAGATTGGGTCAATGCTATTTTTTTTTATATAAGTTCAGTTTGTACATGCTCCCTCTTCAGTTTTCCACACTCTTGCTATGTATGTAATTCATCCAAACCTGTTTGTCGGCCTCTTTAACTAGCACATGAGAGGTCATGAGATTTAAAGTTTAGCTGCTGTATGCTTCGCCTTTGGCTATTTTAAATTCAAAATGCTAGCTGCAAATCATATATGGGCAGAAGTATGCTTTCAGTATAAATATTAAGGTATTTGTCACGATGTTTATTTCACACATTTTCTCTAGGCTAAGATGCTTAAAACAATAATTAATATTATTTTTTTTTAAATTCTAGGATTTTAAATCAAGGGATTCTCGTGGGAATATACCCCATTTAAGACGATCCCCCCGCTTTCTCTTTATTGAAGCTGAAACAGCAGTGAACAATTTTGCCCACCACGCCATGGTTCCAGTCAGATAAGGATGTTGTTCCGTCAAATAGTCCTTTTTTTTTCTCAGCCATACCACCTGAAACCTCCAGACTACTCTATCTACCTGTTTAAGGATGTAATGAGCAAGCTCTAATAAAGAAATTATTTTAAAATGTGTTTTTCTTCTGCTTTTGTTTTCCATAGTTTTCTTTACTGATGCTTATATAATAAGTGCAACCCAATGGATCAAACTCGAATGACAGCTCAAGAGCAGGTTATATACTCAATTTTCAAAATTCATGGGTTTTGTTAAATGCGTAGTAAAGTAGTGTCCATAGAATATAGTTGAGTCAGAGACAGCAGTAAAAAATATTTATCATGCTCACAATTAAATTAAGAAGTTTGAAAGGAAAAAAAAAATACTTTGTGCTAGATGCTTTATCTTGTGCCTCTTTAATAGCATTATTTTTGTCAGTGCTAGCCAGGTTGGCTTCTTTCCAAACAATATCACTATCAGAACCCTACAATAAAAAAATATGGATAAAATTTGTAAAAATTCTGAGTATTAAAAACAAATTTATTTTTAAATCATTCTCTTATTTAAATATTGTTTGCAAGTGGTTTCGATTTTAACAATGCATAACATGTTGCTAGGCTTCTATTCAGTTATTAAAACTGAATTCATACAATTAAAACATGTTTTGAGCTTTAAAAAATACTAATCAATATCTAAAATCTATTTATCTAAATACTTATTAACACCTTAGCACTTATTAATATCTAACAAGTTTTCACTTAGAAATAATATGCTTAATCATACAATATAAAATAACATGATTAATATGCATAAAGATATTAATAGAAAAAACTTATCAAGACAAAGAAAAATTACAAGATTTAATTAGATATTTAATTTGAATAATTTAAATTTAATAATATTAATTCATTCAATGCTCAGTTACTTTATTTTTTAAATTGATATAGATATGTAATTAAATATATTTTTTTAATTACTATAAAACTTATTTTCCCATTGAAAAATAATTAGGAGTATTAAAAAAAAGGTACCTCAGGTAAATCTAAAGCTTCATATAATGATTTTGTATGTCTTCTTATTGCCTTAACTGCATCTTCATAAGCTGATATTGTCTCATCATAGCTAGATTCTAGTTTTTTCTTAATATCATTAAGCAAATTTTCATTGACTGAAAAGACAATGTTAAACACATGTAAGTAAAAACATTTTTTTTTACATTCCTAGAATTGCAGAATAAAAACTTTTTAAAATAACTTATTTTTAAAAGAAAAGTTTGAGGTAATGTTAAAAAAAATATTTAAATACAAAAAAAAATTGTAGCATAGGGTTTATGCATACAAACAATAGGGCTTTAATAAAATTAGTTAACTTTTTGCTAAAAATAACATGTGCAAGTAAATACATTTTTTAACATTTCTAAATTGCAGAATAATTTTGTGTGTATTAATAATTTTAAAATTCATTAAATGTCTATTATGTTTGTGCAAAGAATTTCTTACTTAGTGCATTGATATATAAATATTAAACTAATTAAATTAATATATTCTACACTATAATTATCAGTAAACATTATCAACAAACATACATCATATTAAAATATTTAACTGTTTTTATCTGCAGTTATTTCTGTTGATCTTCACTTAATGTTTGTAAAAATCCAGACATTAATATGATATGGGAAATTAAAATCGAGTACCTGAGTATTCCCTATCAGATGCATTAATTATATTGTGTCTTCACTGTTTTTTTTCTTCAGTTATTACTATGATTTTTGCATATTTTTTAAAATCTAGATATTATTTATTACAACACATGAATCTCAAAATGTTCTTTTAATTCACCCTTTTTTGTCGCGTCTGATTGGAGAAATTTCAATATAAATAAAAGTGGTTTTATCAACAAAAAAAAATTTCAGTTATTGCAGCGGATTTCATGGTTTTTAAAATTTTGTTTTTGGTGTGCTGACAACTCGCAAAGCGTGGAAAAAGTGGAATATATAATTTTTTTAATATATGTATTCTTTACGTTACATTCTTTATTATTATTAGATAAAAAAAAGTTTTTTTTCTCTTTAAATTTTATGAATATTGCATCGAAATGACAGTCTTTTATTTATCTTCTGTGTACAAAAAGAAAAAAATTAAGTGCTAAGAAAAACATTTCAGATAATTCCTTCTATCTTCAATCACATATCTGATTATATTCTGGACACATAAAAGGCTCCCCCTCCCAGTCAATTATTCCAGTTAAAAAAAACAGGAATTTAGCAAAATTTTTCCCAGTTCTAAAAAATTTTCTAATATCAATATTAAGACTTAACACTATTTTTAAAGAAAAAACTATTGTGGTGAAATATTTCATCATTTTGTAAACTCATCATAAGATTAACACCCAGAGAGTATTATTAATTGATGCATAATATATGAAAATATATAATTGAAAAAATATAAAATTTAAAAAATTTCTTTCCACTCACTTCAAATTGATCTTTGTACACAAATTAATTTTAAAAACATTATCTAGTCACATTTGAACGCATGTTTAAATACATTAAATTTGGGTTTGATGGTCTGAGTCAAACTGATAAAATTTTTAAAGAGCACATTACCATTTTGTATGTCAGTTATGTCTAGCAATCAATTTTTCTTCATTTTTTTTTTCAATTCTTTTTTACAATGTTAATTTCATCCCCTGAAAATAATCTTTCACAAAATATTTCTAACAGGGAATACAGTTAAGATAGATAGACATCTAATATAGCTTAAAAGTGTTGTTTAAATAAAAAATTTCATCTGTGGAAATGGGTGATGTCCCCTTCACCCTTAGGGTAATGGGCTTCTCCGGCGCTTACGTGCTTGACAGAGACATCTTTGTTTCAAAGCAATAGTTTAACATTTCACTCAGCTGTATGCAATTATCTTAATTTTAAATACTAATGTAGTTAGCCATACAATTTAGAGCCTTTAAACATTTTCCAGAAAAGCGGGGGGGATTCTTTTTCTCCCCTTGCATTGAGAGAAAACTTCAATATTTCTTTCTTAACCCTGAAGATCTCGTCTTGGAGGTGGCGGGGAAGGGACAAATCTTTTATTTTTACTGTATGCTAGAAAGTATCAGTAGTCCTTCAATAGCTGCTGCCAATCAAACTGAAAGGAGCAGCAGATTTAGGAAAATAAAGTAAGCCTAAAATCTTAAGTAACTTCAACAAATTATTGCCTCTCGGAACTTGTTTCAACCACTTTGTCCCTACCTAAATTTGACGAAGTTTGTTAAAAAAACACTGACAAATCAGTTTTAACCAGATTGATCGTGGGGTAGAAAGAAGAAATTTTGATCTGCTTAATTTAAAGCTTATTTTTGTCTTATTTATTTTTATTTTCAAAAATAAAATCAGCATCTTGTAAACAAAAATGAAAAACTAAATGAGATTGAATTAATGATTTCATTTTTTGCTTTGATTGAGAGGGATATATCAGCGAACAGAAGGTAGTAGAGAAATTATATGAAAAATAAAATTTTATTTTTAATATTTTATATTTTTAAGTAAAAATAGTGAAGTGAAAATGCAAATTTTTTATTGTAAAACTAAAATATAGCTATTTTTTCTATTCAACACTAAAGTAGGAATAGAGTTAAGCTACATAGAATCATTTTATAGCAATTCATAAAACTGGGAAATTCAGACATTTGAGACAGTGATGATCCCACGCATTCAGGATAATTGAGGCTCTACTGTATAAACTCATTGTTTGTTCTAGGTATTGTTTAGTTACCAAGTTTGAACAAATTACAAAATGTAGTTTTCAAGATAATAAAGTTTCTTATCAGGGCACTTTTCTATTACAGCTTTTAAATTCATTTCAAAGAAAGTGAAATATTTAAAATTGCAAATTAAAATTAAAAATATTACTTGAACTATTAAATTTTTAAACTATTGTACTATTTTTCTATGCAACAATTTTTTTTCTTTTTCTTTTTTTTTTTTTTTTTTTTTTGATTTTGCATCCTTGTGTCTCAGAAGGCTCAATTTTAAGAGTTCAAAATTTAAGTTTCCTTTGGGTAAAAAATAGCTTCAAAAAGTATATCATTTTAGAAAATTCAGAAACCAAATTAATTTAAATTGGTTCTTTTTAAACATGTGCAAAATTTACATACGGAATTTGCAAAATATGAGTAAAAAATCACCGCTACATCCAAACTGATGCTTCCCATTTATATGCAGAATTTATGCTAACCAAAGCGAAACTTTAAGCTAAATTTAGCACCTGAAACAACTTCTAATAAATTTCTTTTACAGCACAATTTTTTGTAAAACTAATTTATAAAAGCTTTCTATTTAAACTAAAAAAAGGTAGAAATTAAATGAAGAATATATTCATTGGTATCAATTAAAAAAATATTTATTCACGTAAAAAAAAATTAATAGAAAATGAATAATAACTTAAATAAACAATTAGTATCAATTAAAGCTATTCACATCAAAAGAAAAACTAAAAGAAAAAATAATAAAAAGAAACAAACATGCATGCTCCAAAACTGGGATTTCAGGCATTGGAATAATCTGTTCCACTGGCTCACTTTCCAGTTTATTTACGTTACTATTTGTAACAGTTTTTTGATCTAAAAAAAGATGAAAAACATGCTTTTAAAACTAAAATAAGACATGCAAAATAAAAACAGCAAAGCACAGAAAAGAAATTGTTAAAAAAAATTCATTGTAAGCCTTTACTGATTCCAATGTGTTTGTTGAGAAAAATACAATACTCTTTGGGGAAAAAAATTTTATATATTGAACAAGCCATATTTAGATTCAAATATTATTGACACATAGCCATGAAAAAACTGGATTTAAAAAAAACAGGCAGAGTAAATAATTATTTCTTTTTGAAGCTAGATTTTCCATGTAACACTTAGCGAAATAATAATAAGAAAAAAAAGCGAATTAGCAACTTTAGAGTTTAATTTTTTCTTTTCTTCTTAAGCCTAATTTTAACAGATTTTTCACGTGAGATAACCATTTTTTCTTTTTTAAAAGAAATGTATTTTTTTTTTTTTTAAAGACTGTGTAAATTTAGGACCTTTTCAATCAACCATATAGTTGCTTTAGACTTATATTAAACATTCTTAGATTAAATCATTTAAATAATGGTAACAGATATAACTAAACATATTACGTAAAAACTATTTTGATGTGGAATTTTAATCACACATTCACATTCTTTTATTTGATTGAAAGAAACAAAAGCTGAAAGAATGAAAACAGACTTCCAATGAGATATTTGTTTTTGAAGGATATTTGGATAAACAAATTAAATATTTGTGTACAAAATTTTTTCAATTCAGCTTAAAAAGTTATCGAGTATGGCAAAATATGCAAAAAATAAAATTAACATTTAGGTGTACAAAATTTGGATTGCTCTCCTGACCAAGCTATGAGCTACTCTCTACAATTCAGGGGGTCAAAAATCAGAATACATCAAAAAAGAGCTATGCTTATTTAGAGTAAGTATGTTTTGTGTCTGATTTCATAAGTTAAAATATTGTTTTCATTAATTAATTAGCATATTTGAGATCACCTCCTCGAACCTTTAAGATTGAGTCTTAGGATGTGAAAGTTCAATCGTTAGATAAAAAGTTATTCAGGGTGGTCCGTTTTTATTTAGTGCTCAGTAAATTAACACTAAATAGTTTGCCTTGAAAATTGACATACTTTTGTGAACTGTTTTAAATAAAATAGGTCAAATAGAAGTTTCTAAATAATATTTAAGAATCAAAAATCTTTACCGCTGCCTTTTATGGGAGATGATTCTCTTGATTTTGATTCTTTTCCAGATTTCTGAGACTAAAAAAAGTACATAACATTAAAATTGATGAAATGAGAAAGTTTTCTAAGAACACAAATACAATGTTTACATATTTACTGAGATGGAAAATAAAGATTTCTATAATATTTAAAATGCTAGTTGCCAGACCAAAAATTTTGAGAAACTCTGATATAAAGTCATTGATCGTTATATCATCCTGATATAACGTTGCAAGCATGTTTGTGCTTACTCTTCAGAAAAGTATTTTTTTCCACGAGTAGTGAATTTTTGAAAAAGAAAAAAAAAAGTTAAACAAATATTGAATTATTTCCTTTCTATTTTATTTGATTTTCCTTTCCTTTAAATTTATACTTGATACATATTCCTACTTCACAGAAAATCAAATCTGGAACTCAAACGTAAAATTAAGTAACCATTACTTTACAAAAATAAGAATTTCACAATCAAAATTGTGATCATTTTTCGACAAGTTAAAGCACTCAAATATTAACTGAATTTCTGTACAGGATGTCAAAACAATTTTTAACTGAACTTCTGCACAGGATGACAAAACAATTTTTAAATGCTTTCTGATCACCACAAGCACGATTTATCGCCATTCAAAATTTTGACTATTTTCCAACCTAAACAAACCAGGAGACACAAAATTAAAATGCAGAAAATATGAATATTTATTTGGAAAACCACCTTTGTTCAGTGGTCTAAAAAATTAACATTTATTTTTCATTTTTAATACACCAATCAAATGCGATTTTTAAAAACATTCTAATTTCCATAATACATTTTTGAAAAGGACATATCAGTGCTATCCTATATGCTCTCATAACAAGTCTTATTAATTTAAATAAATGTGTATTTTTGGGCAATTCAAAAAAGAAACCTGTTTTTAAAAGGTAAAAAATAATTTCGAAAAACTTATTTTTAATTAAACAGTAATGAGAATAAGAATAGATGCATTGTAACAACGCTCTTTGATAATAGGGTAAATTCAAAGGTTAACTTATTTGTTACAATGTAATTATTTGCATTTTTTTAAATGAATCAAAAATAAGTTAGAAAAATAATATAAATCAGTTGGACAGGTTCCCTCTCCTCCATTGTATTTAGACTAACAGAGCCATTTTTCTGGTAGAATCATTTTGATTACATCGCATATCCAGGACTTAAGGTGTCATTTTGAGTCTTTTTCTTTAATATTCATGATGTCTTTATTTTAAAGGCAAAAGACTTTATTAACGTTGGGTGAATACATAGGAAAAATAATTATAAACTATTAACAAATTGTAAACAAAGAAGAAAAATTTGATATGATTTGATTTCTCTTTTTATTATTATAAACTATTAAAGTGTTATACAGTAGGAAGTCCCATATCTGGAATCGACGGGACTTCGGCAAGTACAGGAAATCGATTTTTCTGGATAAAAGGTCCTTAAGATAAACAACCTCATTTAATAAAAAAATAACAAATAGAAGATAATTGAAGTCAATTTCATTTTACAACGACATGTAAATCTATGTTACTACGACATATTAATCTAGGCAGCTAATGTTGTAAATTTCCACCTGGTTTTTAAAATCGATAGTTTAATACGCCATTATAGCATGCTGTGAATTCCAAATCAAATATTTAATATAATTATTTCTCAACCCACTGTATTAACGACAATTCCATCGCAAATCCATGTAGTTTTCTTTATCATTTTAATAGATTTTCACATGGTCAAAGTTTCAACACAATATTATTTCGTTCATCGAATTTCAAATTGCACATTAGAAGAATTATTTCTTTACATACGATCCAATAAAAGTAACTTTTTTTTTAATATTATAGCACAATTAAAAATACATACAATATTAATGCTTTCATTAAGCTGTTTCAGAGTGTTTAATAATATTATAAATGCATCTTAATAGTAAATACCATTTTAATTTCTTGGAAGATTTAACAAAATGTTCTATTTCAAGTGGAATATATAACAATTTAGAATTACTCTAAATAACTATAGTTTCAACATCTGTAAACTCCCAAACTAATTTTAACTACAAAAAAAAGAGAGAAAAAACAGTAACAGCAAAAACTAAATAAAACTCATAGCATAAAAAAAGAACACAATATATATTTAAAAATAACACAGATCACACCTCTATTGCAGCTTTTTCACGCTCTAGTTTCTTTTTCAATAAGCTGGGTGCCATTGCAGACTCCTTCTTGTCATCTGATAATGTTTTGGATGATCTGAAACACATACAGAAAGATATAAGTAAAATTGCACAATTTTGACACAGACAGGTATTTCATTTAACTAGTTATTAAAGTAGTTATTATGACAGGTATTATCAGTAAGAGACCACATACCAATTTTAAGGATTTTTCAAACAAATTTACAACTTAACATAGATAGACTTAAACATATTTTTTCTTAATGTCTAAAAGAAAGGTAATGTTTATTTAATTATTAATAAATAAATTACACTCTGTAAATATTTCAAAAAATAAAATGATTGCATTGTGTTGCACACAATTTGCATCACACTTCTATATTTTACAAAAATTCAAAACAAAAAATTTTTTATGTATGACATTTTTTAGTAATTTTCCAATTGAGTTCAGGAAATTCATTACTATTATGCAAAATATTAATATAATTGCAACTTGGACATTAATTGGTTAAAAAAAATTGAATCATATAGCAACAAGGATTGGCAATATCAATTAAAATATTCACTAGTCAATCACAAGGTCATATAGAACTAAAGCAAAGATAAAATAAGGCATCTGTTCAGTTTCAAAACCAGTTTAGTGTGTTCTCCATTATACAAGTGGAAGATGATAAAACCACTTTTTCTCTTATGCCACTTGGAAGAAAACTATATAAAATTGCTCTCAGTTCCTGAGAGTTACATGCCAAACAGGAAAAAGCTAATGTTTTCTACATAGCACATAAATGCTATCTAGGAATTACTCATAGCATCAGATGCTATGAGTAAGTGCAGATCTTTCCTGCCTGTTAGCTAGAAAGTGAAAGTTTAATACAAAAGCCAGAGGAAGAATATGTCTGTTATATACAAAGAAATTTCAGAGTTAGTATATTAACTTCTTTTAACTGATTGAGCTTTAAGCACTCTTTAAGGATCAATAAATCATGTCTCAGCTTTAATGCATTTGTGAAAACTGCGACTAACCCTATATCAGAAAAATTACAAATGAAATGTTGAATATGAAGATATTTTTTGATCTAAGAAACTTGTAAGCATGTGATTATTGGAACAAGAATTGATAAGCTACATGGAGGCAGAATTTAGCTCTTACAGTTACAATTTGTCTTACAATTTTGTTTCACTTAAATCTGAAGTAAATATAAATGAAATTATAAATATTAAATGGTGTATAATATCATCATCATCCCTATTTATTCCAGCTCTCAACTTCTTGATTTAAGCTTTAAAAAAAAAAAAAAAAAAAAANAAAAAAAAAAAAAAAAAAAAAAAAAAAAAAAAAAAAAAAAGGAGAAAAATGCACAAAAACTTAAGACAAGAAAAAATACTCCGCCTAGTATTGTAGTTTTTTTTTAAAAAATAATTGTAATATTTTCAAAAGAGAAAATAAAATACAACATATTTATGAGTTAAAAATATCTTCACAAATATTAAATGTAATTTATAATTTTATGATGCAAAACTAATCTATCCTATTGTCCATTATGAATCCATTATTATTATAGTATCAGATATTAGTTTTGAGTTTATTAAACCATGGACATCTATATTGTGCACAAATGACCATCCCATATTCTTAAATATGTTTTGATGGATAATTTTCCAACAAATTCTTTAATGATACTTTACTAGTTTCAAATGATGGTATAAAAAATTTCAAAATCTTATTTTTTATAACTTATTATATATTATAAGAAAAAAAGGCAGAAATGTAATAGCTTTGAACAATTATAAGCTGAGATATTATATTTAATGTTCTTACAAAAAAAATAAAAAAATCTAAGACAAAAATTATAACATATATGACAACACTATAACAATAATTATAACAAATAAAACAAGTAATAATTTCTAAATTTAGAACAAAAATGGATAAGCTGCATGGAGGCATAGTTTGGCTCTCATACTAATAAATACTATAATAAATACATTTACTAAATAATAATAACATAGTAAAAAGCAACTTGAATACACAGACAACATTATTTGAAGGTTGGTTGGTTGAAGTTTATAGGCACAAGAGCCAAAAATGGCTATACTTGGTCAAAATTGGTCTATAGGTCAAATTAATATATTTTTCCTTTAAGTAAAGAATATAGTCATATAGTCTTGATAAGCAGAAAAAGGTTGTGAACTTTAAAACATTATTTGAATACAAATTTATCAAACATTTCTTCTTAGTACTTTCTTTTAATGTACGTAGAGATGTGTCTTACAATTTTGTTTCACCTAAATCTGTTATAAATATAAGTAAAATTATAAATAGTAAATGATATATAACATAATTACCATTCCTATTATTCCATTTCTCGATTTCCTGATTAAAACTTAAAAGAGAAAAATGCAGAAAAAACTTACAACTTGGATGGAGAAAAAAAAATTATCAAATAAAAACAATATATCTGGTCTAAATATATGCATATTTTTTTAAAAAAATCCTGTATTTTACATTTTTATAATCCTTAAAAAAGTCTTCCAAAGTACTTTTAGCCTCAGTATTTATATTTAGATCTTTAAAACTCTTTCTGACTATCAGTAGTTTTATTTGTGGGGTGGTTTTCTGGAACGAGAAAAGTTTTTAAAAGTACCTTTTAGTCTCAGTACTTTTATTTAGAGCTTCAGAGCATTTTCTGACTAGCAATTGCTTAACTTGCTATGTGGTTTTCTTTTTATTTCACTCTTAGGATTTATTCTTCCAAGTATAATCATTACATACTGTTCTGCAGTTTTATTTTACTTTTTAAAAGTTCTGTGCCTTCAGAATTTATTTTCTCTCAATATGTTTATGTCTCTGTGTTTTACACTTTTTAATAGACTTACTAGAGCATTTAAATCATCTTACATAATTTTTAAATTTCCAAAAAGTGTTACGAAGAAGTTAAATAAAGAATAAATAATTTATACAATTATTTCTTTTTTATTTAACTTTGATGTATCTTTATTACCACCCAAGTCTCTAAATTATTTTTTATGGATTTATCTCATTCACAAACTTTAATTTAATTGATTTTTTGAAAAAATATTATTAAGGAAAACAATAATTTTCAAATTAGTTATCTTTAAATCCCACACAAAGCTAGCAAAAAAACAAAAAAATCAACAAGTTGAGAATGAAGTCATTAAATTCAATGATACAATTAGAGAAATTAAAAAACAAAATGTGTGAACACAGAGAATGCAAAGAACTGTTGTCATTTACTCACAAAACCAATTGTTGCTAGAACAGCACTATGATACACATGAAATAAGAGGGAGGTTATGAAAATAAAGAGTCCACTCTAGAAACTTTCCCAAATATAGATTTACCTTTCTGAAGAAGAAGAAAAAAAGGAGAACCAAGTAATTAAATCATGCTAAAAGATACATAATTCTGGAGAGAAATTAAAAGCAATTAAGGACAGAGAGCATGCATTTTCAACCACTTAGTATATCATGCCTTTGAACTAATTACAGAGTTCATCATTTTTTATGTGAGAAGAGAAAGAAGTTTTCATTTTAGCCTGTTTTTTCACGGCTAGAGCCCTACAAATTGTGCTAAAATGCATTAAAAATGTATGAATACTTTTTGTTTTTCAGCAAAATGTCTTCATTTGCTAGATAAACTTTCCTTAATGTTTTTTTTTTTCATGCAACTTCACCTTTCTTAATTTTAAGAATTCTTTTAGAAACTTATCCCTGATTGACCTTCATTTGTGGGCCCAAGTTTTGCCAACCAGCGTTAAATTTCATGAAAGCTGCTCGAGTTCTTGACTCAGAACAAATGGTAAACAACTTAAATATCGATGGCAACTATGTATTAAAAAAACAATCCGAGAATAGTGTTTAATCTTTAAAACTTGAGCATATTGCATTAAAAGAATGTGTTAAAGAAATTTCTAACTCAAATTTTGGAATTCAAAGGTAGTCTCAGAGAGATTTCTAGAATTTACAAGAAAAAAAAGGCAAGTTCTTTCAGCAATGCCTACTTTAGAGACTGTAAAAGAGCTGTATCATGTTAGAGCTGCATCTTTTATGACACAAAGACAAAATTTGAAGTAATGTTAAGCTTCTGGACTAACTTCACTTGAATAAACTATAATAATCTCTGTAATGTAGAGAGTGGATATAAGGTTATTTAGTAAAAATATTTACTCTAATAATTGAAACATTTTAATTAAAACAAGGACGAAAATGAAAAGTGTATTTTTTTAAAAGTTGAGTTCTATTCTTTTCTAGTTTAGTTGCTTTCTATCTCACATACAACCTGTCTACATACTTTAATAAATTACATCATCTAAGTATAATTTTAAAAATATTTCTCCATAATTTATTAGGTCCTACTCGAATTTAATTAGGGAGTCAGAAAACTATTACAGCTGTTAATCTCATATTGTTCAAAAGTAATACTTTCCTACTTACGAACTTTTAGACTCACTGGCATCTGGTAGCAGTTTGTATAGTTCATCAATATATGGAATATTTTTTTCAAATATACTTTTCAATTTGGGATCATACTTGCTATACACAGCAGCTGTTGTTAATCCAGCTCCAGTAGCAGCAATTATAAGAGCTACTTTTCCTGATTTACTGAAAAATATGTAGGTTTTAGAAACGACAAAAAAGAAATTAAAATATAGATTCGAAAAGCAATTATTTTCATGACAAAAAGCTTATTTAATTGAAATATCTACTAGAATTAAAAAGAAATATAATTTTTTAAACTTTTACTTAGCACTGCATATAAGAATGTAATTTGCAATATAACTAGGATAGACAGAGCCAATAATTATAATAAACAATACAGTACTAAGTCTATTATCCAGACATCCATTTTCCCGAAATTTCTGCTTCCAAGACACATTTTAATAATCAAAATGAATAAAAAATCTTTGAAAAGTTTTTCTAAAAACAAACTTTAATCTTAAAGTTAGCGATCCGTAATAAATGGATATAATGTAAGTAAAAGAATAATATTTAAAAAGTAGATTTTTCCTGATAAAAAGTCCTGAAATGAAAAACCTATTATGTAGAAAAATCTATTTCCCAGACTTGAAGAAGTCCCGATGATTCCAGATATGGGACTTTCCATTGTATATGTCAGTCTAATAACTCTTTAAACAAAGTGTAGACATATTGGTCATTTATACAAATTCATTAATTTCATTTATTTGAACAATATACAATAGAATAAGTCCAAACAATAAAATTTCATTTTTATTGAATAAAAATATTATAAATTTAAGAAAAAGGACCTTAAGACAAAAATAATTTTGTCATCATTTTTGAAAGGGAAAACAAAAAACATCAATTTTTTGAGTTAAAAATATCTTCAAAAATGTTGAACGTAAATTTATAATCTTATGATACAAAACTTATTAATCCTATAGCTAAATGGCAAGATTAGCAGTTGCCACTCGCCAATGGCGACTAAAAAAATTAAGTGGTACCAAAAAATAATGTTGGTTGGTTGGTTCTAATGCCACTGGCCACACGGGCCTGCCTGGTGAAATCGAGCAAATTTAAGGCAGAGTGTGCGTTTCTTGTTTTTCAGTGGCGCCATCTATGGCCAAGAATTCGAATTCTGCCACACCATATGTCGCACCCGTTTATAGGGCGGATCCATTCATACATCCACAGATCATATCTACATAATTGATTTTCATGAAATTAGCGATTTGTGTACAGAACTTCAAATATCTCAATTAGTCATAAATATTAATTTGTAATAAATATGTAGTGATATTTAGTGTATAGCAGTATTTGAAGAATATTTTTTATGGAATTGCATTTTAATTTTTTTAGTAGTGTAGTAGAGATATTAGAATGAGTATGCATAACAATTTTAAATTGTCAAAACAAAAATATCCCTTTTGAAAATGAATTAACGTCATGTGCTAAGAATTATTCATATAATGAAATTATACAATAATGTTATTAGTTATTAATAATAATAGTATTTTTTAAACTAAACAAAATAAATACTTTTTTATAACAATTTAGAAGCAAAATTATTATTAAAGTACTTTGGACACTAAAAGTGGCAAACAATAAATTAACTTCTAGTAGCAAGTGGTCACCAGCTATACTTCCCAGTCTCGCTCTTAACCTAATGCCCACAAGTGCATTCTGATATCAGTTATGAATTTTTAGTCAGTTATTAAACCATTAACATCTATATTCTCCACAAATGACCATCCCATATTCTTAACTATGTTTTTATGAATAATTTTCCAACAAAATTCTTTAATGATAATAGATCAAAGACTATAGTAAAATATAATCAAAGACTATAATAAAATAAAAAAATTTCAAACTCTTACTATTTCTTTCTTAGAGAAATATAAAACTTGAACAAAAAAGGAACAAATGCAATAGTTTGAAATATTTGTAACCTGAGATAGTATAATTAATGTTCTTACAAAATAATTATAAAAAACATATATGACAATAATTATTTATAACTAAAGTACAAAACAAGCACTCATTTTTAAATTTATTCAAAAATAAAACTTTTTTAATTTCACAATTTTATAATTAAAAATTTTTTTAAACAAAAATAAAATATTTCAAAATACCTTGATGATGATTCATTAGAATATTGGCGGTGAATCCTCTTATTATGAAACTAAAATGAATATAAATTATAAATTAGAATAATACATATGTTAGTTTAAACAATATGCAGTAATACAATATAAACAACATATGATAAAACGGATATTGTGTAACATAAGTATAGGGGAGCACAGGGGGACGCATGCCCAATAATTTTCTGAAGCATTTTTAAAACCCAAAAAGCTATTTTTTTAAAAAATTTAATAATACATAAGCTTTAAAAAATTAATCAAAAATTCATATAGCTTATGTATAATTTTACGAAATTTTATATCACTTTTATTTAACTAATATCTTAAAAAACCATTTAATGAATTTTTTCAAATTTGTTACAATTCAACTCAATTAGTTTATACCCCATATTTTTTTTACATATAATGATTATTTATCAACACTTTAGCTTGCGGTCAAAAGTTTCTCAGTATCATTTTAACTTAGTATAAGGCTGTCCCCCCTGTGGCAGAATTTTTTCGAGCTGTCTGTGACATAACTCTCTAGCACTAATATAAGATACTTTAATAATAATAAACAAGATACTTTTAATAATAATAAACATGTATGTTACTAATTTAAAATAACAAAAGTGCTGTGTTTACAAAAAAAAACATATATAATTTTTTTTAATTGAACATGTAATTTTTATTCTAATGTTATAGGTAACATTTTTGTATTTTATTGGGAGGGAGGACGCAGAAATTATTTCTTCACCTTTTGCAATTATTCATCACAATAAAAAAAAATTTAAAATCCTTAAATCCGTAGTAGTACTTCGCGAAAAATAAAGATAGACAACAAAATTAGGTGAATCGGACACCTCAAATGTGTGTTTCGTTTCTTGATTAGGCAGTTGTATAAAAATAATGTCGTATAAAAAATATCGGATTTAAAAACTATGGAGAAATCAATAGCAATAACTGATAAAATTTGACAGAATTAGTGCCTTAAAAAGTAAATACTCAAACACACGATTAAAATTTTCCATGTTGTTTATCGGGATATTTAAAATCCACGTGAAAATCAATATAATAACTGACGAAAATACAATACATCAATTTACGATACTATCAGCATATATTGAGCGCGTCTAAAAGTGATTATCTCAAAGCATGATTTAAATATAACAGGTAAATTTCTGTCAAAAAATAAATAAAGGTAATTTTATTTATTTATTTTTACTTTTCAAGAGAAAAATCTTTCTGCAAGAACTCTGTAACGTTCTGCGACAATGTTGCTGCGATTCTGTTCCCTTCCTGTCAGTCCCCTTCTTGAAGTAAAAGAAGTTCTGTATTTTGATTACAGTTACAAATATTTACTTTGCTAGTATTATTCTAAACTCGTTAAATTTTTATAAGTATCTCTTTTTCAGGAGGGGGGACATTAATAAATTTTTCAATGGTTTTAAATTTTAAAATTCTTTTTTAAATAAATAACTTTTTTTTAAAAAAATAAATAAAAATGCAACTTTAAATGTTCATTTTTCTCAAAATTTTTAGTTCAAATTATAAAAAAATCTTTCAGGTTTACCAATTAATAATTCTTTTTTAGTTTAATTGTTTTGAAAAAAATTTATGCCTACTGATTATTTATTAGCATGCCATTAATTATTCTTATAAACTACAAATTTTTCTCATATTCTGATGAAAGATAATCATTTTTTAAAATATACACATAAAATAGTACAAAAGGATAATTTAAAAATTGTTGAAGATCAAATTCAGTTGTTACATAATATTCCACATTTTGGTAAATTTTTATGGTGTTGATGAGTGCTCTTTAGAAACTTACAGTGCCCATTTTTAAGAGGCAACACCCTGCCTTTTTTTATTCCTAGGGAAAACTCTGGTTATTAACTCTCAGGGTACCTCAAATCAGGACCATAGCCGAGATCTCTTTTTCGAGGGGTGAAGGGATGTAAATATATATATATAATAAATGCATACTTTTAAAAATCTACAGTAGGTCAAACAGGTATAGAATATAAGCAGAAGGTCAAATGTTGGAATGTTCTGATGTCCTGTTTCCTCCTGAACGAGAAAGCTTTTTATAAGTAAATTGTAAACCTTTTCTCACAACTGATATATTATGGAAGAACATCAAATAATTATTTTTATTAAACAAATAATTATTAAATGTATTATATTATTATTTAAAAAAAATAAATAGTAATTGTTATTAAAAATAAATAATATGTATTACTTATAAAAATCTCAAGTAAAAATTACTTTCTCTAATATAATAAAATGAAATATTTCGGGAGGAGGGTTGAATTCCTACATAACCAACCCCTGGTTCTATGGCCTTGACTCAAACCCACAAATTTACAATGTTGGTAAATAATTGCACTATAATCTATCAAATAACGACTTTAATTTCAAAAATTGCAATTTTTATAATTATAATTAAGGGCTTTATTTTTTCCACTAGCACCCTACTCTAATTACTTTCCCAAGTAATGTAATCGAGTATCATATATACTAATTAATAAGAACAATATAAAAATTAGTAGATCACCCTAAGTTAAAAATATTTAATGAATTATAACTTAAAGTCGATCATTGAAAGTAATCGCCTCTTTATACAGCAATATCAATCTTTTCATTTCTTGACTTCACAATATGAAATATTACAATATTTCGAAGGGAAAAAATATATCTACAACAGATTAACAAAATAACACATCATACTTTAGATTTTACAGCAGCTTGCTTTAGTGACCGCCACATGATCGATTGCCTTATTATTAAAATAGAATTTTTAAATAGTCCTTGAACAGAATATAGCGTAAAAGTAAACAACTTCAAGTTGAAGTTCAAGTTGTTTTTTGTTCTATGCCTCTATTGATATTTAACGGGTCGCTATTTAGGAACGCAATGTCTTTAATGCCTGACTTTTTATGGATGGTGTTTTTCACACTAGGAAACGCTGCAAGCTCCATACCGCCTATACTTCCGGGTTACTGTTTCTAATGTATTTTAAAGCCATTTGGCTCACAATGTGATAATTGTGTTTTGAGATTCTTGCAAACGTGGTATTTGATTACTTATTACTTGTATTTACAATGCTAACAATACTTGTGTTTGCAATGCTAAAGGTGCTTACACAAACATAAGGTGGTGCACAGCTTGCAACAAGAACTAACAGTAACAAACAAATGGAAAGAGGCCAAATCAGGACTGTCAAAAAAGCGAGTTATTCAAAATCTAGCAACCATGTCACCTTTTTTAGCAATATATCTATAAATAACTGAAACAAATTTTTACTTCAAACTCACCAGAATTGCTTAATAACATTAATATCTTATGAAGTACGGCAGATTTGAACTCGGAAATTATCTGATTTACTTCTTTTATTGAAAACAAAATTATCCGTTTAAAAATATCGCCTCTCAGAGTAAGCTGTAGTAAGCAGTGGCAAACTTTCTAACCTGAACTAGAACAGGTATAGAGCTAGAGATTGTTATTGTTTACATTTGTATTGAAAACACCACCCATTCTTTGGTGATCTACTGAAATGGATGGCCGCTAAGCGAATTCTGTCACCAAAAGCTAGTTCCTCGAGACAGGGTCCACAGAAAAACGGCTCCTATTGTTATGCACTCACGCATGCGCCTTTAATATGTTTTGACGGTGAAAGTTGGCTCTCAAAACAGAGAGTTATGGATAGATATGGATGGATGTAGATTGCGACCAAGGTTATTGGAATACGAGCGGTTGTAAATCGATTTTGGCACACGGCTCTTTAATATAGTTGTAGTTATAGTTCATTTACGTCGCACTAGAGCTGCACAATAAACTATTGGAGACTGTCTGGGAACCATCCCTGAGGATGATCCGAAGATATGCCATCGCAATTTTGATCCTCTGTAGAGGGGATGGCACCCCTGCTTCGGTAGCCCAACGACCTGCACTCGAAGTTGAGCACTTTACGGTAGAACAGTTTAACGAGGACCAATACCGCACACCCTCGGTCCCTACACAAACTGATCTAAGCGATCACCCACCCTCACACTGACCGCAACCAGCCATGCTTGTCTTCGGTGATCTGCTGGGAACCAAACCTGCAGTCCACTGCGGGACTGTTTAATATAGGTGAAATTAAGATGAGTTATGTAACTTTTTATTCTTACAATTTTGTATAAATGCGTTTGAAATCTTTTAAATCAATATTTTGCTATGGATGATGCTTTCAATATAAATGTAATCAACAATAATCTCGAGCTCTTGACCTGCTCGCTTTCCGCTTAGAAAGTATACAGCTGCCTACTATAGGTTATTCTGCGAGGCGATATTTTCAGACAGGGTTATTATTTTCAAACAGATAATTATTTTTTATTAAAAAACATAAATTGTATGGTTTCTGAGCTCAAATCTGTAGCATTTCATAAGATATTATTGATATTAAGTAATTCTGTTGAGTTTAAAGTGAAAATTTGTTTCAGTTATTTAGAGATATATTGTTAAAAATGGTGGGATGGTTGCTAGATAAAGAAAGAACTCGCACTTTTGGCAGTTCTGATTTGGCCTTATTTTGCTTGCTTATTACTGTTTGTTCTTGGTGCAAGCCGTGCACCATCATACGTTAATGTGTGTGTTTGTGAGAGAGAGAAAGAGAGAGAGGGATGGGAAGGAATACAGGTCTATCACTTATAACAAAAGAAGTATTTATTAGGTATAAAAAATTACCTCATTTTGATTAAAGAGAGCTTGGTATTTATTGAGGAGCATGGAGTTATTTTATTTGTACCTGAGCTCGTTTCTGTGGTTACTATAAATCCACTCCATAACAACTTCTTTAAAAAAGTTGCACTGAAGGTATGCCGTCAGGCTAGTTTTTTTTTTTTACATATCCAATAAAGTTGTTAATGGCTATTTTTCAGGTTGTACAGGTTATTTTTCTAAGACATCCAATTATAGTGATAAATATGAGGTTCAGAAAGAATTTTCATTTTAACTTAGAAGAGTCAATTGTTTCCTGAGGTATTTTATTTACATTGTTATTTTATTTACATTATTACTTTATTTATATTATTATTTCATTTACATTATTATTACATTATTGAGGTTATTTTATTTACATTTGAGATAATTTTGGGGTTTGAGCAAAGCCACTTCATAGCAGTTTGTTTTGTAGATTTTCAATATTGATGACCAAAAAAAACTTCATTCATCTTATAGGGCACACGAATAATTTTCCAAAAATAATAAAGCCTTATACAAAGTATAAAGTTAGGAATAAACTAATTATTTTATTCAATAATATATATTAGGTTTAATGTTCATTATTAAATTGGTGACTTATTAGTATTAATGAAATCAAAAGAGAGCTGATGCAATTTAAAGTGTATGCATTATTTTTACGAATATAAACAAATTTTTTAAATTTTTTTGTTATAAATAGTTATTAGAGATGAGCAGTTAAAAGCTAGAAAAATTAGTCATTTTAATTAACAACTTTACGTTGATTTTTTATTTCATATAACAATGAGGTTGTATATAAGGATGAAGAAAAAAATTTAAAAATAAATTATGTATTTCAGGGAATTTAAGTGAAAACGTAACATTTTTCAAAAGGAAACTTTCACGAGAAATGAACAAATAAATGGGGGAATAAAATTAAAAGTAAATAATTATTTCAGTTAATAACATTAAACTAAATGTTAATTTTTATCATTAATATAATTTAATGCCATGATAAGGAAAATTAAAAATGATTGATGTGATTTAGTGAATTAAGTGGGGAATAAATATATTCCCCGAAATTAAACTTTTAGGACACAATTGATACATAAGTATTGCAAGTAAAAGGTTAAAAATTAGAAATAAATAACTATTACAGTTAACAACATTTAACTCAATATTAATATTATTCCTAAATATGGTTGGTTCCATGTTCGATGAATGAAAATAAAGATTAATATAATTTGATGACTATTTGTTATCTCCCAAAATTAAAAAAAAAATAATAGCGAATAATGGAAAGCTAGTAATAAATAATCATTGCAATAAACAGCATTAAATAGAATTTCAATTCTACAAAACAACGAGGTTTAATATCAAAATTTATCAAGTTAAAAAGATTGATGTGCTTAAAAATAAACATGTAATTTTGAAAAGTAAGGAAGAAAAGTTTTTGTAAAAGTATGCAAATAAGAAATTAGAGCTTACACAGTAAAGCTTAGAAATTATTTCAATTAGCAAACATTGAACTGAATATAAATTTTTTAGAACATTAATGACATAAATTAGGATTATTAAAAATAAAAGAGATTGATAAAATTAAGTGAGCATCCGTTTTTTTTCTAAATAAAAAAATAAGAAGAAGTTTATTTTATGTTCACATTTATATTTAAGTTAGTGTACGGTTAAAAGAAGTTCAACCATACACCACGTGGATTTATTACATGTTGTAAGAAAAAATTGTTGTTAGTATCATGTTAAGATCAGCCTAAATATCAGTTTCTTCTATTTATCTGCGTGGTGAGGGACCATTTTGGCTGAATTGAAAACAATAATGCAGAATTTTAATCAATTGATTTAATTAGCCATCTACCCGTTTTTATACATTTAGTGTTCTTGATATGTTTGAAGTTATTTTATAAGTTCTTGAGTTCAATATTTTAGGAAGTAAATTTGCTTTACCAAAACATTATTGAAGGTGTTTATAAGTTATTGTGTGACTTCTTTATTCTATTTTTCCAATAAATGGATTTTATATGAGGAAAACCAAATTCAGCTGATATCAACTAAAGGTGATTTTGGGCTCTTTTTGGAGGTGTGTGTAGAACAAGAGCGCCGTCGGCGAGGTAATAAAAACTGGCAAAAAAAAAGAAAAAAAGTAATAATAATAATTAAGACAAAAAAAATAAGTTTTTTTTATAAAAATGTCTATATCTTCATAAATATTTAAGCTAGGATTACGAAATTTAGTGCAATTATTGCATATAATAACGTAAATAACTGTCACAAGTTATAAATCTATTGCTATATTTTTGGCATAGGGTGTTCAAAAACATTATTTTCCGTTTGTAATTTATTGTCGGTCCCTCAAACCTTTAAACTTCATTGATATGTATGAAAAATCGCATGTCTGAAGTTATAAAATTATTCTTTTAGTATTTCTTGAGAAAAATGAAAAAATGTGTTAGTATAGAAGTGTTTCCAATCTCAAATATATATATATATATTTGAGACCAAGACTTTCCCCTCGGTCAGCAATAGGGACGTATATTTAACGTAATGAGTAAGGGATGATTTGGCAACAGTTTTCACCAAGAAAATGTTAAAAGCTCGCTTGAAATGAGGACAATTATTTAGAAAGTCTCTATTTCAACTTTTTTTATTTCAGAACTTCTTTAGACACGAAAATATATAAATATATATTTTTTTTATTGTAAACTTAATGACAGAAATATTGAGAGAAAAATTTTAATCTTTAAAGGGGCTGTATCCCTTCATTAAAAAAATGTGGGGGGGGGGCTGAAGTCCCCTCTGCCTCCCAGTTCCGTGGTCCCTGTGTTTTTACAAGTTAAAGAATAAGAATAGTATAAACATATATTAATTTCTTTGTTTTTGGAGAAAAGAAAAAAGAACTGACAATTTTTCTTCTTGCTGACGTAACGTAATAAAGTGATATCGGCGTTATCTACTGGAGTCGTCGTAATTATATTTTAAAAGAAAATATTTATTTTATCTTTGATTATTTATATAACAGTGGTAACTGGAAAGAAGTTATCTTAAAAATGAAGGAGCAATGATTTTTATTCGTAACATTTTACAAAAGAGGGCAGCACTAAATACTTTTACTTGATGATAAAAATATTTCTGTTCTTTCTTATTTTTTTTT